ACTCCTGGCTGCCCAAGAACAAAGGAAAGGGGGAAAACAAAGGGTTAACTGATAGAGCTCATAGTCTGCAGGACCTAAGTCTCCATCACCCCTCCATAGTGATGTGGGAAACACAGGCAGGAGGAAATGGCAGATAGAACTAAATTTCCTTATAATCTGCAGCCCATTGACAAATACTTGAGGCTGGCAGAGTAAAACTTTCTCCAGGAACTCCCTGCTGTCTCAATGCTAATGCTTTCCTAGAGGGAAAAACAACCTTAGCTTGACAATAGCTAGGCCTCCAGTATCTTGGGAATCTTCTTTAGCATATGAAAATCTCACTGGAAACTTCCCCAGGACTTCCCCCACCCCCAACTCCATAGTATATAACCAGTCTCTCCTCATGGCCCAGGGGCAGCAACTCTTTCTGCCCATGGGTCCAGTCCCTGTGCTTTAATAAAACACCTTTCAGTACCAAAGACATCTTCAAGAATTCTTTCTTGGTCGTCGGCTCCGGACCCCACGAACCCCACTGTCACCCCCCAAAAACCTCATCATTACCCACAAACCATAAGAGTAACTTTTAAAATAGATGAATTTTCAGCCCAATTTCTCTCCCTTTTTCTCTCTTTGCTACTGTAGTCACTCAAATGGAAACTTCTAGAGATAAAAATCTAAAAGTGGATGCCACTCTAACGGTTGGACTTGGGCAATTATGTGTAAACTTTCTATGATAAGAAAACTGGAGACTTGTTCAGGCTTTCACATGGGTATTTTAAGATATTACTGGGTACTATGAGTTTATCACACTTCTTCCTTTCCCACCATTACAAGTTTCAATTCACCAGCGTGTATTAAGATATAAAGATGTTCTGAGTGTGAGACATCTAAAGGAGGAGGCTCAGGACATACCCAGGTGAGGGCTTTAGCATGACCACTAGGCATGTATGGTGCCTTTAGAGAGTACAGCTTAATCCTCAGAGGAGGAAAAGACGCGATGTATCAGGATTTGGTAGATGCTATGCCTTGGATGCCATTAATGAGACAAGTAAGGGAAAAAAAGTCTCTATTGTGAACTGATATTTGTACTTCCCAGAAAAGTCAGCAACAAATGATCAAGAATGATAGGAAATCAGTACTGCCTGGTAGGTTTACAAAGTTATCTAGATCTTTACAAAATAGTCTTGACCCTGGAGCTTAAATACTACTTTCTTCTATGAAACTTCGTTTCCTTTTCTATATTTGGCTCAAACAAGTTTTCTATCTTTAGTGATAATAAATTCACTTTTGGAAGAAACAACAAACTTTAAGGGACAAAGTGTTCATTTCAAAAGATTAGTTTAGACTATTGGTACATTCTGCACAGTCTGTAAACCTAGATAAGTTTCCTTGAGTAGCCACAGCCTCAGAAATACTTGTTCTAAGTAAAGAAGGAACAACAGTTAGGGTCTCATCTAGCAACAGTTCTCTTTGGCAGTCCCAGGACTCATTCTGTATCATTCTGAAAACTTTCGGAATGGCAAGGTATTTCCAAATGTTTTAAACCCTCAATTTACCCACCATTTTACTGTATTCTCCATAAAAATTCTGCCCACAAATTGTTAAAAACCTGATATGCATTTATACCAAATCATAAGTGACTAATAATGGCTTCCATGTCCAATCCTCTCAAAGATATCTGCACTGTATTCTTTTTAAGATTATTTATTTATTTTTGAGAGAGCGCGCTAGAGAGAATGAGTGGGGAAGGGGCAGAGAGCGAGAGGGCAGAGGACCCAAAGTGGGCTTCGTGCTGACAACAGAGAGCCTGATGTGGGGCTCGAAACCATGAACCATGAGATTATGACCTGAGCTGAAGTCAGACACTTAAAGGACCAAGCCACCCAGGCACCCCAAAGGTATTTTAGTTTTAAGTAATCTTTACACCCACTGTAGGGCTCGAACTTAAAACCCTGAGATCAAGAGTTGTATGCTCCACTGACTGAACCAGCCAGGCACCTAGATATCCGCACTTTAGAGTGTGTGTGTGTATGTGTGTGTTTGTACATGTGTACACACACATATACAGTAAAACCTTGGATTGTAGGTAACTTGTTCTGTGAGTGTTACGCAAGACAAGCAAACTTTTCTAATAAATTTTAACTTGATAAACGAGTGATGTCTTGCCATACGAGTAGTACATGATGCCCAACTTCATATGATCACAAGTGAGCCAATGGGTCTCTCTCTCTCTCTCAGTCTCTCTGTCTCTGCAGGGATGTGGGCAGTCATTTCCCATGCTCCGATGGTCGGTCTCAGGCTGCCTTGTTTGGCAGAAATCAGTGATTTTTCAGAACGTTGGAAGGTGCCCACAACTGGCACTGGTGTATTTTTTGTCAGTTCAATGTACCTATGGACAGTTCTTTGCTTTTCCGTTCAAGAGTAAGCTTAGGAATGCTTTGCTTCATTCTAGGTCAGGCAACCTGCAGATAGAGACCATTTCCTCTGCTGCCTTATTTCCAGTTACATTAAATAGAACATATGGCAAGAATTTATTAATACTAAACTATAGTCAACATCCATTAGTGATGGTGCAAGTCATCCTACACAATAACCTTCATCTCTCTGGAGGGTTTGATATACAAGTGCTTTGGATTACAAGCATGTTTCTGGAAAGAATTATGCTTGCAAACCAAGGTTTTACTATAGTTAGGATTAGAAAAACAATTTATCAATAAGTAGCAAAATTCTTAAGCTGTCAGACCTCAGTGCCTCATTGTTTTAATCTATAAAATGGGACAGTATTACCTGCCCTACCTACCTATCAGGAGTATTATGAAAATCAAATGAGAACATTGTATATGAAAATGTGAGGCACTACAAAAATATATGTGGTATAGCTGTCACTTTTGAACAGGTACTGAAGCCTAAAACTCGGAAAGGGAATATGTAGGAATGGAATCTCAGTCAGCAGCCATTGCTTGATGGGATGACATAGGGGCAGTTAACACCTTATTTCACATCAAAGATTGTCTATGCTACTTACATCTACACAACCTAAATATATCTTGATGCTATGTTTTAAAAAATAATGAAAGGAGTTTTCTTGACTAATAGATTTAAAGATGTTTTTCTCTAAAATTAATTAACCTTCCCTCTGCTGGTGCACCAAGGGAAGCTCATTAGTGATGTTCCACTTCCCCACAGTGGGCACCTTCCTTACATGCACTGTGCTGAGCATCAGGCAATGAAACCCGAGTATGGAGAAAACACTAGGACCTGGCCTGGAAGATTTGTTGCTGTTACATCATGCACTATTGTCTTATTTCTTCTTTTGTATGACATCCCTCATGTGGCTCATGCTCTCACGTGCTCCCTGTTTATTCCCAGAGGCATTTTACCTGTGACTTCCCTCACTGAAAAGTGCCCTTGCTCTTTTGGTCCCCAAACATAGCTGCTCTGTGATTCATTCAACACCCTGCTCTCAGCTAGGTGACAGTGGGCTAATTTGGTAGACAAATTTGCATTAATATCTGCCATTGACTCCTCATCTCCAGTCAACATGTGCATGAAGACTTGCCATTTTGAATCCCTTCCAATAAACTCTACTCTGATAATGATGCTAAAGGTTACATTGGGAAGAAACTAACATTCCCAACTGATAATCAACTTGGGAAGGTGTGGGTTTCACCACAAACACCTGCAGCTTCCTTACTTGCTGAGTACGGATCAATAACTATCAATACGAAACGTAAATGCTGAGTCTCCCTCTTTCCTCTGATAACAATGCTTTAACCCAAAGGAATTCATGGGAGAGTTGGGGTTTCCAGCTCAGCATGGTAAGAAGCTTGGACATTGCCACTCCATCCTAAAAAGTAAAAAGCAAAACAAACTGAAAAATCAACCCCTCTTAGATTCAAAGAGAAGTGAGGACACAGAGCCAATTGCTGCCCTCAAAGTTAGGCAGGTAGGTGAGTATAGAGAATCACAGCTTATTAGGTCAGAAACCTCTGTGGGGACCACTGCCAGAGTTGGGAAACCTGAACTGTAATGCCCAGAATTCGTGATCCCAAAGACCACCAGGGAGCTGAGTCCGATGTAAAAGCAAAAGAGCATTTATTCGAGCTAGGCTCGAGCTGAATCCCCTACCTGCACTGACGCAGCGGTGAGATACCAGGGAGAGAGAGCGAGTTTCAAAAGGACAAAGGTTTTATTGGGGTCTAAGGCAGTTGGTGAGGTAATGGCTGTGGTCTCAGCCGATTGGCTGGGGAAGGGTCCGAGTCCTGTTAGGCAGGTGGGGGGGGGTTACTCAAGGGGAGGAGGTGTGGTCAAGGTGAAGGACACAGAACAAGATGGAGTCGGCCGCGTAGGCCCACCATTTCAGAACTATAATTGACGAATTGCTGGAGGCTCAGTGTGAAGTTCAGGGGACTCAGTCATGGGTAGGGGGGATATACTTTTGTGAGTTCTACCTCCAAAAGCTTATCAGGTACTCACAGTGAAATCTCATGCATCTGGTAGGGAGGAGGAGGAAAAGAACCATTTTGAATACTTGAGAGCCTTTTGTTCTTTCTTGTTGTTGCTGTAAGTTTTTTAAAATTTATTTTGAGGGAGACAGAGAGCAGGGGACAGGCAGAGAGAGAATCCGAAGTAGGCTCCTTGCTGACATGGGGCTTGATCTCAGGAACTGTGAGACCATGACCTGAGCTGAAATCAAGAGATGGATGCTTAACCAACTGAGCCACCCAGCTGCCCCAGAGCCTTTTATTCTTGTTAACAAGGTCTGCCCTCAGGAGAAGCTATTTTAACCAGAGCCAAACCCCCTGGGGACTTACCAGAGACTAAGTGAACTTGGGGAAAGGAAATACTCAACTCTAGTTGGCTCTAGTCTTCCACTAGGGAGAAGGTAAATGCCCTGCTCTAACCCCATCCTACCTGAGAAGGGGGAAACATAACTGATCAGCTTGTGAGTTTCACAGTCCAGAGGCAAAGGCTCACTAAAAGACTGAGACTTAATCATAGGACTATAGAACCCTTCCATTCCCCCTACATCTTACTAGCACATTACTAAGTGCCTATTTATAGCAGTTCCTTTTATGAGCTATTTGCCTATCAAGAAAAGATTAAATCATGTCTAGCCATCAAAAAAAAAAAAAAAAAAAAAAAAAAAAAAAAAAAAAAAAAAGCTACAAGACATTCTAAAAGGCAAAAACAGAATTCGAAGAGACAGAGCAAGCATCAGAACCAGACTCAGCTATGGCAGGGATGTTGGAATTATCAGACTGGAAACTTAAATCAACTGTAATGAATATGCAAAGGGCTCTAATGGATAAGGTAGAGAGCATACAAAAAAAAGTGGGCAATGTAAGCACAGAGATGGAAATTCTAAGGAAGAATCAAAAAGAAATGCTAGAGATCAAAAACACTGTAATAGAAATGAAGAATGTCTTTGACGAGTTTATTTAGTAGACTGCACATGGCTGGGGAAAGACTCTCTGAGCCAAAGGATATCTCAATAGAAACCTCCAAAACTTAAAAGCAAAGAGAACAAAGACTGAAAAAAACCGGAAGAGTCAAGAACTAAGACACCTGGAAAGGGTGTAACATACATGTAACAGGAATTCATGGAAGGCCATTGGGAGATTTTGGCCCCTCTGATTACATCGTGTGAATATGGCTTCACCGCATTCAAAGTGAGTGGAGGGAGGAGTCCTACTCCATTATATCTTTGCCAAAGGAGGCAATGGACACGGACCCAGTAGAGTACTCCTTCTGGGCACCATATGGCTGGCTCCTGCTCTGTCCCATAGTCATCATATCATAGATAATCTTCAAAACCATTTCACTTCCGCTAACTCATTAGAGCCTCATGAAACTCCTTCCTTTCTTGTTATGTCAGGTCTGACCTATTCAGCAGACACTGTGGTCACAGAAATGGAAACAGATGTGAGTCTGAAAGAGAAATTAGTTCAAACCAAAATCTCTTCCTTTTTTGAAGATTTCCAGAAAAAAAAAACTTAAAAAAATGAGATTGTAAAGACTTTAATTTGAGTGGACTATAAAAGTGTCAGATAAGATTTCTCTCTCAAGTGTCGATATTAATATAAAATGCCCCAGGTAAAATTCAATTATAAAGTTCTGGTTTTATTCCCCACCAAATCATCCAGTTACATTTTCCAGCATATAATTGGTGGAAATTCATCCTTGGGGTAAAAGGTGAATGCTTAGTATCTTTTTTTGTTTTTTAAAGTTTATTTATTTATTTTGAGACAGAGACAGAGACAGAGAATGACAGGGTCTGCACTCTCAGCACAGAGCTCGACCACACGGGGCTTGAACTCACGAACTGTGAGATCATGACCCACGCCAAAATCAAGAGTTGGATGCCTAACTGACAGAGCCACCCAGGCACCCCTGAATGCTTAGTAGCTTAAACAGTGGGAGAGTATACTATAATTTAGTAACTTTACTTAGGAAGCCTACCATAGGAACTTAAATGAGAAAAACAACTGTTAGGGGAAAATCTGTTATATGATGGCCAACAGGACTGATGAGGAAATTTCAGTCCCTGCCTGAAGACTTCTCTTCCAGGTTCTTGTTCCCACCCTGTTTGCCTCAGGCACCAAATTACTACTAATGAGGAATGCGGAAGTAACATGGTAAATTGTCCCCTCTGTGGATGCTCTGGGCTCAAACTTCTGGAGAATGATCTCCTCTGAGCCCACCAGTGTAAAATAAACCTCCTCCTGCCTTCCAAGATCTCTGAGTGCCTCTTGGTTCTTCTGCTGGGTGATCCAGACCAGTTCCCGTAACACAACTTCATACCTTTAAATCCTAATTGCCTTCTGAAATGGCCTTGCTTCATGTTAATCTTTAAACACTAAAACAATAATCTTTTAGGACTACAAAACCCAAATACCTCTACCCCTGGTGAGATTCTATTTTTGTTTACCTTAACCATATTGAGCAAAAGGCTGGCAACTTTACCACGACTAGATGAATCACAAATAAGGCCCATTAAATCAGATACTTTGAAATGATACACAAATAATTTCCAAGACCAAATATAAGGGCTGGACCAAATCAGAGCCTGCAGGTCCTTAACACTGTGTTACTTTGCCTGGCCTTGGGATCCAAGTGACACAAAACCCCTCTGAGTCACTGCAGGGGGGAAGTTCTCAGGAAGTGGGGGGGGGGGGGGGGGGGGGGCGTTGCACACTGGAAAGAGAATTTAGCCAAAAGGAAGGTGAGGTATTCTTCACATTTAGAGAAGCAAACACTTTTGTAACACTCTGGGTCATGTACATAAGGCTGGTTTGTGTGCATGTGCCCCTAGATGACTTCGATTAAACAGCTTCTGGTGGCTATTTACAGGCTGATTGTCATCAAAATAATATCTTGTTTGGCAAAATACAAGATCTTCTTCAAAAATATTTAATGTTTTTCCATATGATTATGGAGTGTAATTTTTGAGCCTTGGTTCATTCAATATGTGTGTTACTCTAAGAAAGTGGAGAATAAGGATGCTTGGCTGGCTCAGTTGGTGAAGTGTGCAACCCTTGATCTCAGGGTTGTGAATTCGAGCCCCACGGGTGTAGAAATTACTTAAAAATAAAGTCTTAAAAAGAGTGGAAAATCATCCTATTATAATGAACTCAGCCTCTAACCCTAATCCCTGGCATGCTGTTTTATATCCAAATGAATAATAAACTCTACTCTCTTCAATCTAGCAAGATCTAATCAGTACTATCGGAGAAAGTGCTGCCTTGGGAGCTGCGGGCATTGTTATCTGGGGAGACATGAACTTAACTTCATCTGAGGTAAGGCAGTACCTCGAAGGCATAGTTCATATTATTTAAAGTATTTGTTCTTTTCTTCTAGAGCTAACTCCAGTTGGAACTCTCCTGGCTCCCACATTAAACCAGCTTTAGAATTAAAGTCCAAATCGGTGCCCAACACATAGAAGGTGCTCAATAATATTATTAACATTTGTTAAGATAGTAATCAGAATACTGACATTTTTTGACCATTCATTATAGGCTACGATTGTGCTAAATGCTCTTTGTTTTGGACTTAGTTACTTACTGGTCATAATAACCCTTATGTGGTACGGCCTACCATCCTCATTTATAGAGGAAGACACAAGAGAGGAAATCCAACTAGAGTAACATCTAGTTAGGCTAGTTAATGGTGAAGCTGGCATTAACCGGAGTTTGACTCCGAAGCCCTTCCATTTAACTACTATTAAATGTGCTATATCCTATTTTGAGAAGAAGGAACAGATGGTATCTTTTTAATCTCCACATTGAATGTATTTGTCCTCTATGGGGAAATTAGCTAAAAATTAAGAGCATTTAAAATGAGATTTATACGTCTCTTCAAATTTCTCCCAGTTCACATATTACTTACTCGAAGAAGTCTTCCTAGTTTTCCCCAATTCACATTAGTCACAATCTCTTCTGTATCTCCAGATGTTGTTTGTTTATATCTCTATAGTGTGATACATTTTCCTGGAATTGTAATACTTGTATCCTCAAAACTTTTGTTAAATTGAATTTTTTGCAAGTTCATGATGCTCTGATATTATTCTTAGAATTTCAAAGGCTCAGCTTGTTGCTGCCTAGATATCTTTCATGAAGCTGTGATAATATAAGGTTAGGTCTCCTCTGTCCAATAGGAGAATTAGGTAGAAATGGGGAGAAGGAATTCCTGACTCTCCAGGTGTGATAGTTCTCCTCCAGCCCATGTGACTCACGAGAAGCACTTCATCAGGAAGTTTAATGCAGGAAGTGCATAAACCAGGTGGTCTCTGTTTAGAACACATAACGGACCCACAAAAAAATGAATCTAGTCATCCTTCTAAGCTTTCTTGTGTTTGAATTGTATACACAAATTCTAGAAGTCTAGAACCCAGGGCAGTTGATATTTGAGCATAATTAACAGGAAAATCCAGGAAGCTACAGGTTGACAATAAATCGGTAGAATATGAGGATTCAGGTTCCTACACAACCATGAAAGGTACCACAACACCCAAAAGGTGGCCAGAGGACAGCAGCTGTGGCATGATTTCTAATTTAGGTTTGTTCTTTTTTTTCACATGCATTAACTTGGGAGCTAGAGGGAGAAAAAGAAGATGTAAACTGGAAGCAGGCAAGGTCATTATATGCTGACCCTGGGGCCCATTTGCAAGTTCAGTTGCTTAGCCCCTAGTGTAACAAATGTTCCATCTCCTGCCCCTTGGACCTTTCATCTTTTCTGATCTAGATCCCCTGTGTTACAGCACCTGAGCCTAAGACATCAACCACTGGCGCCAAGATGTTTGTTAGGTGTCACTCGAGTCCAAAGAACTGCCTCGTGGGCATAGATGTTCTAACCCTCCTGGTGCCAGAAAGAACACTAAACCCGTTTGTTTCTGCATTTCTAGGGTAACTGTACAAAGGTGAAGCAGTATGTGAGCTCTGACTTAGGGAGCTACCTAGTCAACGTGACCAGAGCTGCTGAGGTATGCAGCCTTCACCTCTGCCAGAGTAACGGGAGATGCGTAAGGAGGATGTGGAACTCTCCGGATTACCTTCACTTGAACCCTGCAAATTACCACATAGAAGCCTCCGAGGATGGAGAATTTACCGTGAAAGGAAAAGCATCTGATACAGACCTGGAAGTGATGGAGGAGAAATTTTCCTGTCACTGTTATCAGGGATACGAAGGAGCTGACTGCAGAGAAACGAAGACGCTGGATGGCTGCTCTGGGGTGTTCTCTTTTTCTGGCTCACTGATAACACTATGCCTGCTGGTTTTAGCAGGTTATCAAAGCAGTTGGTTGTGAGATAATTGAGTTTAAAGGGAATTGTATGGCCTGTAATCACTTAGAGAAGAGAGGAAACTTAGGACAGTTTTTTTCTCTTATGAAATCCATTGAGAAGTATCATAAGTAGACATTATGTATGTCACTTAACATAAACAGGAACATACTGCTTTATTTGACTCCGATTTGGCTGAGAAACCAGATCCAGGAATAAAATCAGTGCACTCTTCTTCATTACTGGAATGTTTAAGTTGTGTTTAAACCGGAGCTAGTATATTTTAGTCTTTATATGAACGTGTGTGTGTGTGTGTGTGTGTGTGTGTGTGTACACACATATATTTAATTATTGGTTTCAAAGACTGTTTTTTCTGGCTAGCAATTTATTTAAAAAAATTTTTTTTAATCTTTATTTTTGAGAAAGAGAGAGACAGAGTGTGAGCAGGGGAGGGGCACAGAGAGAGGGAGACACAGAATCCAAAGCAGGCTCCAGGCTCCAAGCTGTCAGCACAGAGCCCAATGCGGGGCTCGAACTCATGAAACGTGAGTTCATGACCTGAGCCGAAGTCGGACCCTCAACCGACTGAGCCACCCAGGCGCCCCTCTGGCTAGCAATTTATTAAGGACAGATTACTAATTATCTGATTCAACAGAAGAGGACACTGCCGGGTATGAACTGGTCACTCAGTCTACTGAAGAGGACCAAATGCAGAGTGTCTGTTCCAGCCTTACGTTCACACTGGGCTTCTCTTCCCCACCTGAGCTCATTGAGCACAGAACCAGGTCCTGGTGTGACTTCTCATAGGGGTGCAGAGATTGAGGCAAGGGGGGCTGTTCCCAATTCATTACAAAGCCGTCTCTTCTAATATGGTGCTTCTCTCACCCACTATGAGTCCTTCTCTTACAGACCCTGGCAGTGTAAATACTGTGAAAGGCTTCAGAATAGTATCCACACTTGCCTAGGCTGACATTGCTCTAGATCCGGAAATTGATGTTTTGCTAATAAAAAGGTGGTTTGTGTCTTTGCGAGCGAAAGTCATCACTAAAAGAAATATTTAATAAACCGTTAAGGGACCTAGAAGTGCTATTGGGAAGGGTCTTACCAATAAATATTTGATATTTTGACCCCATATGTAAGTTTTGAGCAGTGTGGTTATAAGGTCAATTTGAACTTAATTTGGATCGTGGTTTCATTACCCATCTGGACGTGTGACTCTGGGCAAGTTATTTATATTTCCCATTTTCTCGCTGACATTTGATAATATAATTCTCACCTCAGTGAATTATTCTGCAGAGTAAATGGAATAGCATGTCCCATGCATACTTTGGCTCTTAATAGATGTTGCTAATCTTCAAGTATCTCCCTTGATCACCAGAGTAATGGAAACACTTATGATAAAACAGGGTCTTGGGTAGTTTCCTCTTTCTGATGTTACGTTCTGTTTATAACCACTTATGCACTGTGTTCTCTTGAGAGGCATGTACAATTGATAGGATTTCCTTCCCCTGGAGAAAATCTCCTCCAAAGGTAAAACCAAGATAGGTATGATGCTATTTTGGAGGCATGAGAATTGATTTAGCCTCCTGCTCCACTTCTTCTCCCTTTCTAGAAACATTTGCAGCCCAGGTGTGCTGTTTGAATTCCAGGTCCAGCTTGTCAAAGTTACCGACATGGTTAGGGTCGAATTTCTAAATGTAAAATACAAACAAAACAACATAAAAACCTTTTATAATACTATGAATTAAAAATATCATTGCACAGATTAACTTCTTTTTTTAGTTTTTTTTAAATGTTTATTCATTTTTGAAGGAGAGAGAGACCGAACGTGAGCGGGGGAGGGGCAGAGAAAGACAGAGACACAGAATTCAAAGCAGGCTCCAGGCTCTGAGTTGTCAGCACAGAGCCTGACACGGGGCTCGAACTCATGAACCATGAGATCATGACCTGAGCTGAAGTCGGTCGCTTAACCGACTAAGCCACCCAGGCGCCCCACACAGATTAACTTTTTAAAAATTAAGATTTTTTCCATATCAAAGTTGATATAATCACGTAATAGAAAATTTGGAAAATAGAAAAAATAAGGGAGGTCACCAATAATCACTGTAACATATATTGGCAACTTTTGGTATATTTCTTTTTAGCATTTCTTCTAAAGACTTTTTTTACATGATTGTAATAATGACATATGAATAATTTTACATCCTGTGCTTTTCACTTAACCATGTTGTAAGTAGTTTTCATGCTATTTCATAATCCTCACCGATATTATTTGAGTATCATCTTTAAAGGCACAGAATAGTCTGTCGACTGAATGTGGAAAAATTTAATCAACAATTTGCCTTAAGTTTTAAGTTTTAAATGTCAAGCTTTTACTACTTAGCCACCTAATCAGAGAATATTTTCCAGATTACCCTCCTAATTCATTCATTCACCTAATATTCAGTTTTCACATTAATCAATTTATTAAGCATTACTTATCAGGTACTATTGAAACATATCCTTGAACAAAACAAAGAACTTTGTCTTCTTAGAACTTACATCTAGATGGACATTAAACATACCAATTAGCAATTTAAAATATTTTTTAAGTTTTTAAATTTTTTTTTTTTGAGAGAGAGAAAGTGTTGGGGGGTGGGGGGGGGGAGAGAGAATCCCAAGCCGGCTCCATGCTGTCAGCACAGAGCCCGTTGTGGGCTTGAACTCATGAACTGTGAGATCATGACTTGAGCTGAAATCAAGAGTTGGATCCTTGCCGACTCAGCCACCCGGGTGTGCCCCATTAGGAAATTTATATTAGATATGAAATCTATGGGGAATAAAAGAGAGAGCAGAGTGGGGAAGGATGGGATTTTTCATGTATTGAGCCTCACTGAGCAGATGCTGTGTGAATGAGAGAGAGTTAGCTATGAGGATATTTGGGGGAACAGTATTTCAGGCAAATGAATCAGCTGGTACACATTTGATAGCAGGCGTGGTGTATTCAAGGAAGAGCAAAGAAGGCACTAGGGCTGGATCTTCTCTTCACATTAACTTCCTTTTATTTTTTGGTTGGTAGCATTTATCACCATCAGACACAGTGTATATGACATATTTGTCTCTTTCTTTCTTCCCTTACTAGAATGTAAACTAGAAAAATGAGAACTTCATTGTGTTCAGTATTTGCTAGAACACTACTTGCTACAGTGCCTACCACATAGTATATGTCCAATAAGTTTTCTGAGTTTTTTTCTTAAATTTATTGAAGTACTCCCTACACCTCATGTGGGGCTCAAACTCATGACCTTGAGTCTGAGTCACATGTTCTTCCAAGTGAGCCAGCCAGGTGCCCCCCAGAATTAATGAATCAATCAATGATTCAGAAATCTGAACCAGTGGAAGCAATATGTTTGTCGTAAGTTTTTTTTTTTTTAATTCTGCACATTAATAGTAAGTTATTGCAAAGCCATACTTAAGCATTAGTGTTCTATTCTAATCCTAGCACATTAGCCTCTGAAATCTGTAGTTTAACTCCACTGTGAAGACCTCAGGCCTGAAGAGAATAAATCGCTTGGCGAAGTCAAAGAGTTTGTAAAAGAACCCAATCTGGGGGTGAGGGGATGGGTGAAATAGGTGACAAGCATCAAAGAGTACACTTATTACGATGGGCACTGAATAACGTATAAAATTGTTGGATCACTATATTGTATACCTGAAACTAATATAACACTGTATTTTAACTCTACTGGAATTAAAATTAAAAACTTAAAAAAAAAAGAAAGAATACTTCCCACACCCCCAGCAAAAAACAATAACAAACAAAAAAATGCCCAATCCAGAATCTGAGTTGCCTAATTTTCTTTCACCATAACTGGTTGTAATGGAATCCAAATATATTCATTCAGCTTTGATTATGAATTTAATGCATTTCAAAAAATTAATTTGGGCTACTATTGCTAATTATGTTCAATCACACTCCAGATATTCCAGTTTTAGATCCTCTGTTTAATTTGACTCACTTCTGGAAAGGAAATATACCTCCTGAGCTGCTTTAATGACCACAGCTTCTTTAGATTGTCCTAACTTCCCTTTACGGAAACAACAAAGTACTTAGCCTCTCCAATCTGCCATATTCTCTTTTATAAAAGGAAGATAATAATGGTATCTTTTGTCTTTTTATACAGATTTAATGAAATCAAGTAGGTAAAATACTTAGCATAAAACCTGGCACATAAAAAATCCCTAGCAAATGTTAGCTATTATTATCAAGTACTTTCAATATTGCTTCCCATAAAAGCTGTGATAGGCAATATTATCTCTATTTTGAAGTAGAGTTATGTATGATTTAGAGTATTGAAATGACTAACTTAATATCACAAAGAAGTATCGAAGCCTGAACCCTTTTTAAGGAAATTTAAAGTAGTTATCTTTTCATCAGATCTCAGCAGAATACAGAAGACTTATTTGTACCAAGTTTATTTTTACTAACTTACGGGGATACATAAATTACAAGCATACTGATTCTGTTTTCAGATAATCCATGCTTTTTTTGACCCCATGTAGGAAAACTGTTAAATTAACCAATCTACTATCAACGTACCCTTAGCTTGCATACTCTAAATATCTAAATGCCATTTACCTATAAAAGAAACCAGCGTCTCTTAGGAGAATGTCTGATTCTAGGTCTAAGACAGGAAATGTACAAAATCTGAAACATCTTGTTATACCATTAAGCAAGGATGTTATCAAGGATCACTAGAATTGTATCATAAATACTCACTAGCCAACTTAAAGAGTTTTCCGCTGCCAAAGGTGGGAAAATTCAAGAATCACTAAAGAAATAACTGCAATGGATTGAAATGCATGAAATGTATTTAAATCCATGAGGTAAAAGTGATATTAAAGAAAAACCTTCATTGACTGCTTTGAAGAATGTTAAGGAACCAACCTATTATTCTGAAAACTGGTAAATAACAGGAAAGAATCAACCATTTATTGAGCTATTTCCTATATGAACTCTATATACCTCAGGGTAACCAAATAATGG